AGATTTTTCGAGAGCTCAGCCTAACACTCTTTCGACAGTCTCGCTGCTAACTACTTGGTTTTCTCTGTTTTGAGCATGTTGCTCTTTGATCTACCTTAGTAATTAATTCATTTTTGGTACAGATCAATGTCTTTGATCTGAGAATGTAGCGCTGTAAGCTCGCTGGGCCTCCTTGTAATCCTTTCTGTTTAAATTAATAAAATTAAAATTTATACTATATAAAAACATAAGTTTAGGGCTCCTGGGAGTGTCCACGTCAGCTCTCTAGGAAGATGCCACGTCAGCACCACATATAAGTGAAGAAGACTTACTAATACTATGAATCTAATTGCTATTTACGTCTGGCCCAATAAAAGTCCAGAAATGACTAATACATCAAACCTAAATAACGCCCAATAAAACAGGCAACCATAAAGCACATGTGGTAGTTGTAGACCAAAATCAGGATCTACCAATCCAATTGATTCCAGAAAAAAATTCTTCCTTAGAATTAATATCTTTTCGTGTTCTCTTTGTCACACATTAAATTAGGGATTCCTCTTGAATTACATTTCATCTTCTCTTACGTTTTTGATTTCCTTCTCCCAATAAACTTTAATTTCTACCTCTTAAATAAGAAACCCGAGAGCCTAATGTTGCAAACAAAAAGAAAAATCGAGGGCACAGAGATTCAACGAGCATAGACGATGAGTAAGTTGACAGAGCAAAATGCAACGACAGCACAGCACCAGTGGTGAGTCACTGAGTTATTTTAAACGGATTATTGTACCAGAGAGGTGATGACGAAACCCTTGAAAAATATTGGCCAAAAAGCAAGGTAAAAATTTCCGGCAATTATCCACAGAAGATCATCCGACTTCAACATCTATATTTAATAGTCATTTTTAAAAAAGCAAGGTAAAAATTTCTGGCAATTATCCACAGAAGATCATCTCTACGTTTTGGAGTTTAAGGTTATGTTTTGGTAAGATACAAAAACGGACTCAGCTGTGAAAATCGAGGTATCTAGAACTAAAATCTTACAATCTTTTATTCATTTTTATTAATTTTTTGGTTTTTATGTTACGTTCTCTCTAAATTGAATTCTAAACCATTAATAATTAATTTGCAGTGATAAAATGATAGAAGCCATTTATGCTTAAGAAATCCACTCGCCTAAAGGTCAGTCTTCACTCTTCAGGCATTCTTTCATACAGTATATCATTTTTCTTCAAATTATGGTATTTTCTTTGTCCAACTTATCAAAAGTTTATTTTTGGTTTACAATGTTATTAAACTACAGAATACCAGCAAAGCATTCGGCCTAGCTATTGGCTCATATAAAATTTACACTTCCACCTCCATTCATGTTGTAGTTGTTATAGAGATTGATCCAAAATCTATACTATATAAAAACATAAGTTTAGGGCTCCTGAGAGTGTCCACGTCAGCACTCTAAGAAGATGCCACGTCATCACCACATATAAGTGAAGAAGACTTACTAATACTATGAATCTAATTGCTATTTACGTCTGGCCCAATAAAAGTCCAGAAATGACTAATACATCAAACCCAAATAACGCCCAAAAAAACAGGCAACCATAAAGCACATGTGGTAGTTGTAGACCAAAATCAGGATCTACCAATCCAATCTATTCCAAAAAAAATTCTTCCTTAGAATTAATATATTTTCGTGTTCTCTTTGTCACACATTAAATTAGGGATTCCTTTTGAATTACATTTCATCTTCTCTTACGTTTTCGATTTCCTTCTCCCAATAAACTTTAATTTCTACCTCTTAAATAAGAAACCCGAGAGCCTAATGTTGCAAACAAAAAGCAAAATCGAGGGCACAGAGATTCAACGAGCATAAAAAATGAGTAAGTTGACAGAGCAAAATGCAACGACAGCACAGCACCAGTAGTGAGTCACTGAGTTATTCTAAACAGATTATTGTACCAGAGAGGTGATGACGAAACCCTAGAAAAATATCGGCCAAAAAGCAAGGTAAAAATTTCTGGCAATTATCCACAGAAGATCATCCGACTTCCACATCTATATTAATAGTCATTTTTTAAAAAAGCAAGGTAAAAATTTCCGGCAATTATCCACAGAAGATCATCTCTACGTTTTGGAGTTTAAGGTTATGTTTTGGTAAGATACAAAAACAGACTCAGCTGTGAAAATCGAGGTATCTAGAACTAAAATCTTACAATCTTTTATTCATCTTTATTAATTATTTGGTTTTTATGTTACGTTCTCTCTAAATTGAATTCTAAACCATTAATAATTAATTTGCAGTGATAAAATGATATAAGCCATTTATGCTTAAGAAATCCACTCGCCTAGAGGTCAGTTTTCACTCTTCAGGCATTCTTTCATACAGTATATCATTTTTCTTCAAATTATGGTATTTGTTTTGTCCAACTTATCAAAAGGTTTTTTTGTTCACAATGTTATTTAACTACAGAATACCAGCAAAGTATTCGGCCTAGCTATTGGCTCATATAAAATTTACACTTCTACCTCCATTCATGTTGTAGTTGTTATAGAGACTGATCCAAAATACAACAGAGAAACATTGAGAATCAAAGACAACAACAACAAAAACCTCTTGAGGTGTTCACCGTGCAACACCTCAAGAGGGCAATATTTTCTACGGTTCATACAATCGGTCGGTGTTATTGGTTGGGTCATGGTAAAGTGGTTTTTGAAAGTTTTTTGTACAGAATGAACAGAGTATAATGATGAATTATTGACTCCCTCTGTTCTCATTAGATTTTCAGGTGTTTCTCTTCACTGGCACCATTACCAAGTCTTTCGGAAGAGCTATGCTGTCAAAGAAAACTGCACCAAATATTTACCAAGTGAAGCTTGGCCACAAACAAGATTCGTCAAAATTGTGTTAGTAATTCTCCTCTCATATCTAATTTTTGTATTGCAGGATTAGATAGCCAAATTTCTACTTGGAGAATTTTTGTATGTGCATGCACATCGGTAATTCAAACTAAGTTCAAGATTAAGAAGAGCAACCTGCAGACATATGGCAGCCATCAAGTACGAACCTTCAACAGAGAACTAAGATTGAAAAATGTGCATTATGTTGAAATCCATCATGTAGGTTACTTAAATGATGTTTCATCTTTCAACTTTTCTAATTATAACTGAAAATATAAACTTTGATAGTATTCTTATAATTAAAATGTTTAATTATATTTATATCATATTGTTATGCTCTATAAAGATAGGCGTATCATGTAAGTGTTTTGCTAGAGATTTGTAAATTTTATTGTCACATAGTTTGTGATTAGAATCCAATTGGTAAAGAGTTTAATTTGAGTTCATTAATTTCTCTGTGAATTTTAGTTGCATTTTAAAGGTTATCCAAAAACATTAAGAGAGAACTCAACGATTCACAGGAAGGTCACAGTCCCTTTTTTATTTACTATTTATCACAAATCTAGAGCTTTTATTAGGACATCCCTTCTGATTGCTGACTTGCCTAGCATCTTCTTCTACTTTAAAGCCGTCATTCTTGAAAAGGTGATGGAGTTAAGTATGTATGTTGTAGCTACTATATGTACGAGTTGATCAGACCAAGTGAAGGAATGTATCTGTGTATTTTTTTTTTATAAGTTTTTTATTTAATTGCATGAAAAAGAAAATTGCATGAGAAAGGTTGTGTATCTATGTACTTTTCTATTTGTTGTCATTTAGTTTGTATTCTGGTTAATTATCACCTTTCATATGATGGTTACGGCTATTTTAGAGATTTTAATCGGTCTAACCTCTCTCTTTTTTAACAGTGCCTACCCAACTTTCACCACTTCCTAACATCTTATCTATTTCTAAGGGGACTTTGTTGTATATATTTTGTTTTGCTTTATTTGAATAATGTGTTATTTCAAAACCATATATATAAAACAAATATAAATTATCCAGTTACATTCCATGTTTGATATGGAAGATAGTTTTTACAATGATAAAAAAAAAATGATATTTTGTAATTTAGTTTTATAATGAAAAAAGTATATGCATTTTTTTGTAATTTCAGAATTCAAAGTTTTAAATGAAACACAAATTGGTGCTTTCTTAATTAAGTGACAAAATTAACAAATTAATCAAGTTCTTCTGTTGCCATTGTGTTAATTCTTCCTTAAAAACAGTAAAATCTTATCGAAACAATATTTTTTTAAAATGTAATAAAATAAATTAAATATTAACACCGCACATAGCGCAGATTATTTCCTAGTTAAAAAAAAAAAAAGAGAGAAGAAGAAATTCACCTATGGACTCTAATGAACAAGAACACAAAGACAAGAAATTTACAGAGATAAAACTTAAAGTTTTTAAATGATTTCTGAATTAATGGTGACTACAAATGATATAAGAAATAGCTTAAATAGGTTATAGCCTTATAGGCCTAGAAACTAACGTTCAAAAACCGAGAAGAAAAGGAAACAAAATATCTAAAATAAATGACAAGAAAACAAAAATAATTGGACTAAATGTAAATTATGGCCGTTGGTGATGGTGGCGCCTTTGAGCAGATTTGGACAGTGTCCATAAATTATTCTTCTTGTAGAAACCTTGAATTTGTTTTCCCAAAAATGCATATAGACGTTGTGGAATTAAAGCACAAAAAAAGTCCAAATAAGGCAAGCTTCATCTTAGACAGATCCTCCTAATCCTTTGTGGTATGGTAGCTAGGAGCACGTTTTAAAGCCTCTAAATGAATGAAAGGCTCTTCTGGATGCATAGTTGTCGTAGAAGCAACGGAAAATGACATGGTTCGAATAGAGTTTGTTCTTATGGCTTATGCGATCCATGTCTGGAGAAATACAAGATATTAGAAAAAGTCTAATGTTCTAGACTTCTAGTTTCCAATAACAACCTAATTTTCTTGTTCAGTATTGTATTTTGATAAAGCATAATGTACTAGTTATAAAAACGAATTTTTGTTTTTGTTTTGAGTATTAATTTTTTCATCCACTTCAAAAAGAATACTCAAAAAACCGATATGGAAAACAGAAACTGACAAATCTTCAACAAAAGAGGGAAACATAATCATCTCAAAGCAAGACTTATTGCCAAGCAAAAATACTTCAACAAAAGCAGAGTGCAGCAAAAGAGTAGAACATAGAAGAAAAACTCTCGAGTTATTATTGTCTTGAGCTAAATAAAAACTTCATTGCTTGTTTTTTTATTAGAAACATGGTTTCCACTCACTCTTCTTCCTCCGCCTCTTCAAGCCAATTCACAAATGGCTCTAGGCTTTTCACAAAGGTTTGCCTGCAACATTCACCACAGGAAACATCAGAGATAGTTCTTTGAAAATCGCCACGAGACAGATCATTTAGCTGAATCATTTTTGTTTATGGAGAAACTAAAGTGCCATACCTGCCCTTTGAGTTGGTTCCTTTACGGAACCAATGGAGAATGGTGTCTTCAGCGAGAACATCCAGTTCATAGAGCGACCTCACTACTTCTGGGAAAACTTTCATAAGCTTTGCATCCTCGTAGCATTGCATTTGGATTTTGTACATCAGTTCCAGCTCTAGCTTTCCGCTGCTGCAAAACGTGTTCAGAAGTGGAGCCCATGCTTTAACCTACACACAAGTCATAAATCAAGTGACAATATTAAGAGTGATCACGTATATAAATTCATTCATGACTACCAACTAAAATTGTCATATAGGACGCAATTTTGTGGTCAAGTCTACAGTGCTTACTTCAACGATTCTGAGATTAGCATAAAACTCACTTGGAGTTTGTGGGATAACACAGACTTAATGGAACTCTTATGTGACATGACAGGCATAAAATGAATTTTACCTGGCGCAGTACAGAATTTGCATTTTGCTGCTGGTTTTTTCCAGACCACTGAACAGCATCCATTAAACCATCCCAAATGACACGCACAACCTCAATCTCTGGCAACTTTGCATCTTTGACCAGCTGCTTCACAGTTTCAATGACTTCATCTACACTACTTTCCTCTGTGACTTTGCTTGTAAGAACAGTTTTGATCTCCTTCAGTTTCACCTCAAGCATTTTCTTTGCATGGTACTCTACTAGGTCAGGCAATCCCTCATTCCTACAAATCCAACAAGTAAACACAGTTCTTAGTCAATGATACGTGCTAATACAGCATACAGAAGACAATGTTTCGGAGTGCAAAGGCAGACGAATGAGGAATATATCATTAGCAGGGAGAATTCTGTACAATATGCTTGATTAAAGAATATTTAAAACAGAATATTAAGCAGGAATATTATACGAACAAAGGAGTCAAAGATTAATGAAGACATGGGTTAAGATAGCTGACAAATGAAATCATATTGTAGTGTACACATAAAGAAGTCACAGATGACTTAAATAGCTGACAAATATAATCTGTTGTCCATACATTGTCACAGTTAGGCAGCTAAACAGAATGTGCAATTTTACATGCAATCCCAATGGCAGTGACAACGGTTTATACAATTAGTGCAGCTTTTCCCACTGTGGAACAAACTCCAGCAAATCAAATTTGAGAAATGCATGCAGTTAAAGGTGCTAGAGAAGCTGATATCCGTTACCAATCAACAAAGTAGTGTAATATAACTGAGTGCAACAAACAAAGTTCAAGGGAGAGAAACTCACGTAAAATGCTCAGCAAAGCTTTCGGCAGATCGCCTCACGGGTGGTAAGAAATCCACAAGGTTGTCTTCCATTTTACCACGCCTCAGAATGGAAATCAAGTCTTCAAGACTGTTCTCAACCAAATACTCCTTGAAGAAGTCTGTTACGAACGTGAGCACTATCCCTTTGGCAACAAGATTATCCTTGAGCAAAGGCTGGAAGACAGTCTCTGGAGGTAATCCTGAGAGCTTCTGGGAAAAGGCAAGTGCTGTGAAGATCGCAAGCTTCTTCCTTTCATTTTCCTCAAAAAGCTCCAGCGACTGCAGGAACCTCCGTGTAACATTTTCAAGGTTCTTTATGAGGGACGGCCTCCTCCGCAGAATTTTCTGTATATAGACAACAGATGGTAAAATGGCTTCACGCTTGGGTTCACAATCGATTACAGAGTAAGGATGGCGTTCACCCTCATCAGGTTTCACTGTTCCAGGTTGTGTACGTCCTCCTATGAAAACAACCTTAAAGGACAACAAACAGCAGACAAAAGAAATTTAATAACAACCATCCGTTGAATAGATGGAAACAGATTTTACAATAACAAGAAGAAAAAAAAATCCAGGAAGATTTCTACAGGACCATAAAAATATGAAGCATATAGATTTAGATTTCTTACATATTAAACATATATCTTTCTAAACAATTGGACATCAGAATTTACAGAAAAAGGCGGTGCCCAACTCTAGAAATGTAAGCCCCTCCTTGCGAAGAAACAAGAAGTTGCTAAGTGAAAATGAATACACGAAGAAGTATTTCTAAGGCTTAGCAGCAGTAAGTAGTTTCTGCTAAAAAGAAAATAGTAGTACACTTTTCAATCTCACAATGAAAAAACAAGCAAAAGGTTTGAATACACTGATCCACATAAAAAAAGACCACAAAGAAAATGGCCACAAAGTTTCGTTGTAAAATTACCTCAAAGAAGATGTCACCGTATCTTGAGAAATTAAGATCTGATGACTCAACACTTTTGGCAACAAGTTCCTAAATCAAGAAAACAATTTAGAAAAAACACATATAATAACAAGTAGGGCATAAAAATATGTACAGGAAATAAACCAAATATACCAGATCACCAGCATTATCCAGGTAAATCTGGACCACTGCATCAGAAAAAGCAGCAGGGTCCAGAGGAGCAGCAATGTTCCGCTTGCGGGTCTTAATCCGCGTACCTCTGCGCGTACAGATAAAAGAGTATATAAATCCAAACAGCTTCTAAACACAAAAAGGAAATCTTAAATAACACAACCAAAAAAAAGCATCTCAATTGGAAATCTCAAGTAAAAAGAATATTTTAAACAGGCCTCCTACACTCTAAAATAAGTTATGATAATTTTCTAACAACAAGCTAAAAGACATGATGCAGTGGTTAAATCGAAAGCATTCAGCTAACCTCTGATTGAAAATTAAATGCTACTATAAACAGGGTTCTGACTTGGAACTTAGGTTGCAAAACACAAAAAGCACCAAAACCGTTCGAACAAAAAGCAACCGATGGTTCTAACAACAACAACAGACGTAAAAATTAAGAGTATATAAATACGAGCAGCTTCTAAGCATACATGTTCTGCAAAGAAGAAGATGCTAGAAACTCAGCAGTAAGAAACAAAAAAGCCGCTCAATAAGAAATCTCAAGCCAAAAGAATAAATAAACAAGATCTCCACTCTAAAGGACAAGTTCTATATTATTATCTAACAAAACCAAAAATAAAACTAAAGGACAAGAATCACTATAAACAGGGGTCGCACTTAGAGTCTTAGAGCTTTGAGTTGATGAAAAAAAAAGCACTTAAACTATTCAAATATAGAGCAACGGAAACAAGAGACTTCACTTACCCGAGAGTGGGTTTCTCCTTCGAGCTGCAGAAGAAACGAACAAATATTTATTAGCAAGCTCAAATATTTTTGTAAGAAGATAATGACCAAATGCGAAATCAAGAAAAGGGAACAACTATTGAGAAACGACAAAGAAAACGAAATTTTCTTCATTCCAATCTTAAGAAGCCCTAGCAAATCGAAAATTTTCATTTAGCAACCAAAATCAAAAGATTCAGGAACGTACACACTCTTAATTGAATTCCCAATTTTAAAACAAAAACCTAAAATTGTCGCATCCGCGATCCGATTATTTTTACAAGCCCTAATTTTTCATATACCAAATATCTCGAATTCACAAATCAACAGAAATTAAAAACATCAAAAGAAAAGAATAAGAGCTAAAAACATATCATTTCGAAGACGAACAGATTCAAGATTATCGCGACAAAGAAAACGAAGAAGAAGCGATTATCTAATCCATTACACAAAAGTAAAACTGGGGAATCTAACCTCATAAACCAAGATGAAGAGGGATCAAAAGAAGAGAATGAGACTCTGTAGATCTGAGAGCTTGTAAGAAGAAGGAAAAAGGTATCGAGAGTGAAGAAGAAGAAAGAGAAGGAGAGATAAAATGAGAGAAGCTCGAGTAGACGAAAAAAGTGAGTCTGTCTCGACGCTATAAGTAGAGATAACACCGAAGATGTCTATAAAGACAAATTTACCCCTTATTAACCACCCAAAAAATATCTTTAAGATCTTAGACTCGATTGTTCAGAGCCGGTTCGGCTCCTTAAACCGGGCACATTTAACTAAGTTCTACCTTATTCAAAGACAAGAAGAGAAAAATTGTCAAGCAAGATATCAAACTTTTATAAAATTTAACCAAACTATTAACTATGTTTTGTTTTCTTCATTAAATAAAATATACTTATCATTTTAAAGCAAATCTAATTATTTTGTCGATGTTAACAATATAAAAACGATAGTTAACACTATTAAATTCTCATAAAGACCTCCGGAAATCAGGGGTCGCTCTCAAATCGAAAGAGATGAGGGGTCGTGGAGTTAACCAAGGCTACGCTCATGTCCAATATCAATAGGTTGATTATTTTGCTCATGTATTTTACAAAAAGAAAAAAACTCGACTGAAAAGAGAAAGGAAAATGGTGGATAACGAATCAGCTATCCCTAAACTTGCGATATTACCACTATATCATCAAGCAGAGCCGGTTCGTGAGACTTTGGCGCCTAAAACCCAATAAAAAATTTAGTAGTTAAACAAAAAAATCACAAAACAGCACCCTCAAGATTCAAACCTACAACGAATGGGTTATAATTTCTTACATAAACCACTACACTACATTAGAAATTCTAAAATTTGACTTCCTTAACTTCTATATAATTTTTGGCGCCTAATACATGAGTTTTACCCGCTTTAGCATAAAACCGACCCTGTCATCAAGTAATATGTGGAGTAATTCCCAGTATAACAGTAAAAGCAAAACACAGAATGATGCGCGATAACCATAAAATATGCAAAAATTGATTACATATGGGTCAGATGGTAAAAAAATCTTCAAATTAAGTGTCTAATCTAAACTTCAATTCCACCAAAATCTAAAGATTGACTGTTTGGAAAAAAAATCTAAACTTTATATGTAATTTTTTTGAGTTTTCAACCATTCAATTTTTCTTGTTCAAAAATTTGTAAATGCATGAAGGGTTTCCGAAAAATCTTCATTTTTGGCATATACATGTAAAACATTATTACTATAAATTAACTAGCACACAATGTGAGGTAAAATTTTAGTAGTTATGTTTTAAAAAATTTTGTAAAACTTTTGTCGAGTTAGATTATGCATTTTTACAGTATTCCTATTTTCCTCATACTGTATGTGTAAAAACAATTCACGATATATAACTAATTCTCTTACTGGTTTTATTAGTGATTATTCTTTTAATGCAGTGTTTTTACAGTGCCTTTGTCCCTTGTTTATTCTTATGTGTTTCCCCTTTCAACATCATGAATAAAAGACAACATATTTGAAAACTAGATTTTGTGTCCTCGCATACAACAGTGTCTCGTAGGAACGGTAAAAAGTTCGCTGAGAAGATAGACTTTTGATCAGCTGCGTCGGATTATATACTTTTTCTGACAAATTGTTGCTTTGAATTCGCTACATGCTTTTTACTTGATCTCCATTTGAAATCTCCTCGCAGTTTTCGGAGTAAGGGTTCTTTGAACCGGTATGTATTTGTTAAGCCTAAAAGTGTTCGACGAAATGTCTTAATGAGACTTTTTTTTTTAAAAAAATTTGTCTTTGTTTTAATTTTCAGGGTTCTCAACTTTAGTCTGTTCTTCACTTCTTGAATTTTCTTGATACGGAGCAGTCATGGATGGTAAGTAAATGATTCTTGAGAAATTGGACATTTGTGATTTTTTTTTTTTTGTTTCAAAAAAAAAGACCCCTTTTTCACGTATTTTGTGTTTCCTGTTGGAATTTGGTGAATTCTAATGTAAACTAAGGAAATTAACATTGTTTGGCAGCTTAATTATTGTGAAATGAAATCCAGTCTTACAATTGTTGTTTAGTATCCGCACACGAGGTTAATTCGGTAAATATAACTAGGTGGAGCTCGGAGATTCTTGTTAGATAGAGGTGAGGTCGATGTGATTTCGTCGAGGTCTTTTAAGCGAGGTCTATTAAGCGAGGTAAGAGTTAGTGATCACAAGTATAGAGTATTTTTGTGTTTATTTCAGATTACGGATCCCGTAATAAATGAAGTTACAGGGCTATTTATAGTGTTCAAATTAGGCTACATCTCGGTCAGAGTAGCTTGGACGGCCGGGTAGATAGACCTGACTGACCGTCTATCGGAATGTCGTGCTGGCGAGCTGTTTCATCTACGTCGACGTGGCGAGCTGCTCCTTTGATACGGGAGGCTCATTTCTCCGAACGACCTCGTTTTGGTCTTTGCGAATGGGCTTGTCCATCTTTGATCCTATTGGGCTTCTCCGATTCGCTAACGGGCCTGGTCGAAATTACAGAAAAGGGGGCTGTGCTCAGCCCACCTACAACAATTGTCCCCCCCCAGTCCGTTGATGGAGATGTTGCATCGATATTCAACGCCTCGAACTATGAGTTTTTCAGATCTTAGGACCTCGACGTCGATTGTGGTGTCTTCGGAATCGAGGTGATACTTGGGAGTCGGGGAATGGCGTGTAATCCTTACCGTTGTCAACAAAGAATCGCAAAAAGCAACGGTCGACTTGGGCAACAAAGAGTCGCAAAAAGCAACGATCAACTTGGGAAACGAAAAGTCGCAAAAAGCAACGGTCGACTTGGGAAACGAAGAGTCGCAAAAAGCAACGGTCGACTTGCGAAACGAAGAGTCGCAAGTGGAAGCGTAGTTCGTGGGAAGCGCGTGGAATCCGCCACTAAATAAGATATTGGGAAGCGTCCGGATCATTACTATCTTCCTCGGTAACCGCTAATTTTTCTTCCTTATATATTCTGTTCTCCTTGTCTTCTTCTCATTTTCTTCTCCGTTTACAAAAGGTAATCTTGCTCTCCCTTCTCTCTAGAATTCCTTTCTCTCTCTAGAATTCATCCTTTTGAGATTTTATTTTTATTGTTATCCGACATTGAGTAATGTCTTCGGAGGGTCAGCGTATCGAGTCGAGCTTAGAGTCTGGCTCCAGATCCGATCAGGAAGCTTCTGGGAGTGCTAGCTCTTCTCCTAAGGTGTCTTCGAGGTCCGATACCCAATCGGATCGAGGAGAGTCTCCACTGGTTGAATTGGCGGATCGAGTCCGCTCTGACGGGGCGTCTCCGCGAGGTGAAACTTTGGGTCTTCAAATAGTTCCTTTCGAGGAAGGTCCACGTGATGGTGAGGCTGCGGAGCACGTCGAGGAAGAGGTTGATGAAGGGGGTGAGGAAGAAAACGAACAGGGCGAGGAGGAAGATGAGCAGGGTGAGGAAGTTAGACCTCGACGAAAAGGTTCCAAGCGTAAAGGAGCCATCAAGAATCGCTTGGTCAACATTCCGTCTCAGATGACGGCTCAACGCCTAGAGGAGTTCCAATCGAGATACGGTTTTCGAGGCGAGCTGATGGCGCCAGGGCCCGAAGATTGACCCTGGCAAGCTCCAGAGGGCTGGGTTACGCTCTACGAAGCGTGGTTCAGTCTTTGTCATCTATGGGTGCCTTTGTCGAGGTTGTTGACGGACTATGTCCATCGTCGAGGTATCGCATTCTCGCAAATCCTTCCAGTGGGGATCCGGTTCATGGTTGCAGCTCTTCTATTTGGGAGCGAGGTCGGTGTTAACGTCGATTGGCGTTTCTTCGAAGAGATGACCACCGTCCAAAAGAACAACTCGATCCCGGGCACGTATACGATAAAGGCAAGGAAAAACTGTTCTCTGGTTTACCCCGTCAACAGGACGTCGAGCTGGGAGGCGTCCTTCTTTTACGCGAAGGTGGATGAGGCGTTGGTCGTCGACACGACCAGGGATTTTAGGAGCGAATTGAGCAATAACATCGGTAGATCGCTAGTTCGGTCGTATCTCGAGTCTTTTTTTCTTGTCTCTTACTGACGTTACTTTATCTATTGCAGATCGAAACGTTCAGCTTGAAGCTTTCCCGGAGAATTTCCATGCGAATCTTCAGAAGATCAGAGCTGTTGGGATACAACATTGGCCCGACATACATCGCCGGAGAGTCGAGGCTGCCATCACCCGCATCACAAACGGTAGGTTCGATGTTATCAATATTCCTTCAATAATTAACATCGTCTAACATGTTGTTTGGTTTCAGCTAGCTGGAGGAGAGAAAATCTATTAAGGGAGAGAGCGCTTGCAATGGCTCCTATTCAGATGAACGCGCCCAGCCTTGCTGCACGTCTCAAGGCTAAAAAGAGCGGGAGTAAGGATCGGGGTCCTTCTGCTCCTCGGCCCTTACGTACGGATTCGGTGCCGGCCCAAGAAGAGGTCGAGGTAGTTCCCGAACGAGAGGCGAACCTCGAGTCCGTCGCTGAAGGTGGGGTCGAGGCTCAGAGTGCTGAAGATCAAGTGGAAACTCGACAAATGGATGATGAAGCCGATGAAGCCATGCATTCGGCGAGGCGTGAGGAGAAGAAGCAAAAGAAGAGAAAGCGCGAGGAGAAGAAACAGAAGAAGGAGGAAACCGAGGCTGCTCACCTTGCTGAGAAGGAGGGGGTCGCCAAGGCTAAGGCGAAAGGGAAAAGGAAGAAGCCTTCTGGGGATGGCGACGATGGCGGTCAAATTGGAGGCGAGGATGCGAGCAAACGAACTAAGGTTGATCCAGCTGGTGATGACAAGGCCAAGGAGATCGACTGGAGTTTTTCGTTCGAGTACCCCGAGTCGAGCGAACCGTTTGTCAACAATGTCGACAAATGTGCTGAGTTGTTCGGGATGATAAGGGTCTCCACCTCCGAGGTTCCTGCTGGCACCGATGGGGCTTTTAAGGACATGGCGAGCTTCGCCTTCAAGGTATGTCCGGAACCCTTACTTTACACTTTTGTTTGTGGTCTATCAGTGAGGTCGACTAAAGTGGTTCCTTTTATCATTATTTTTTTTAGTTCATAGAGAACTGCAACCGCGCAAGGGGACAGTACATGCGCTGGCTCCGGAATTTTGCTGCTCGGCTGAAAAGTGCCCAGGCTGCCGGTGAAAAGGCAGTGAAGGAGGGTGATATCGCTATCGAGCAGCGAAGGGTCGCCAAGGACAATTGGCAGACCATGAAAAGAAAAGCGGAGCAGCTGGACGCCGGTGTGAAGGAACTGACTGAGAAGATCGAGGCGATGAAGCAAGAGAATCTGAACTTAGTCAATAACCTTCAGCTAGTTAATGAGGCTAAGATTCAGGTTGAGAAGTCGATCGCTACCGAGGTTATTCGGGCAAAGCGACATGCTGAAGAGAGGATCGAGGCAGAGACGACCTGAATTTGGGCGGATGCTGAGGCTAAGTACTCAGGTCGAATAGATCGGCTGAGGACTCGTATTGCTCAACAAGAGTCGATCGAGCAAGTTAAGCTTGATCTCGTCCAAGCTCGAGGTACACTGGAGTGCCTCGACCTTTTGAAGGAGCAAGAGATGTCCGAAGTGGAGCTGAGGACCGAACTGGAAACATCGAAGCTCGACTGCGAGCAAAAGCTGGAGAACCTCAGTCTCGCAGATCTCAAGGAGGGCGACTTGCCTCCGCCTTACCCTGAAACTCCGGATGGTGGTTCGGACCATGACGACGTCGAAGATCAAGAGAACCACGAGGACGGCAATCAGCCTGAAGAATAGATCTCATCTGCCTTTTCTCTCTTTGCTGTCGCCTCTTTTCTTTTTACTTTTCGTTTTTCCTCGTTTGTAATGACTCGACCTGATCTCATTAATGAATGTTCTTTTTCCAAGTATCAACTCGCAATTTGAATCGTAAAAAGACAATAGAAACGAGATATACTAAGCAAAGCAAAAGGACTGAGACGAGGTGAAAATTTGTTTTGACAAAACGATCGGGACGAATAGAAAATCTTTTTAACAGGATAACTGGTGTGAGATAAAACTGGCATAATAGAACAATAGTTGCGAGGTGAAACTCGGCTTAAGGGAACAATAGGTGCGAGGTATGACTCGGCTTACCCTGTTTTATTTCATAAATCGTGTCCGAATAGTGACAATGATCTCGACGTAGTTATTCGGGTGATTTAAGAAAGGATGCGGAACTGGTCCCGGCTTATTCTCTTATAATCATAAGGTTTTTGTTCCTTAAGATTTATTAAGAGGTTGCATTGTAGGGAAATGCGTATTAGGAGATCGAACATCTAGCTAGGATGTCGATGTTAAAGATGTCGATATAGCAGATGTCGATGTAAAAGATGTTGATATAAAAGATGTCGATATAAAAGCAGACTTTATTAATAGCTGTACCTCGTAAGAGGTTGCCTACGTACCCAACAAACTGGGATCAAGCCGATCGTAGTTCACATTCGAGATCTAGCTCGACCTCTTAATGTTCATCGAGTTTTTTTTTAGTAGTAGTACCGCTTAATGTTCATCGAGTTCCATGAGCGAAGTATCATTTCGCCGTCCATTGTCATGAGCTCGTAAACGCCGGGTTTTACGACGTTGGTGATCTGGTAGGGCCTTCCCACTTTGCACCCAGTTTTCCGGCGTTGACTTCCTCGGTATTGTCGAACACTTTGCGAAGGACGAGGTCGCCATTTTCGAAGTGCCTACCTTTCACTTGTTTGTTGTAGTAACGTGTGATCTGCTGCTGATAGTTTTGCATGCGTAATAAAGCGCGATCTCGCTCCTCTTCGAGCATGTCGAGGCTATCTTTTATCATTCTTTCGTTCCTTTTGCTGTCTTGTGTCAACATTGTTCTGCGTATGCTCGGTAGACCGACCTCGGCGGGGGCTAAGGCTTCCATACCGTGAGACAATGAGAAAGGAGTTTTATTCGTCGATCGTCGCGGTGTAGTTCGATGTGACCATAGAACTCCGTCTAACTCGTCTGCCCATAAACTTTTCTTATCTTCGAGTCTCGTCTTGATGCCATCGAGGATGGTCTTGTTGGTTGCCTCGGCTTGGCCGCTTCCTTGTGGGTATCGCGGTGTAGACTTGCTTAGCCGTATTTTCCATTTGGCACAGAAGTCTTCGAATACGTCGGAGATAAATTGAGGACCGTTATCGGTGACGATCTCGTAGGGTAGTCTGTGGCGGCAAATGATGTTTTTCCAGACGAAGTTCTTCACATCGGTTGCTTTGATTTTGGCGTAAGATTCGGCCTCACACACTTTGTAAAGTAATCGGTGATGATAAGTATAAATCGTTTCTGTCGGGATCGAGGAAGCGGACCTACGATGTCTATCGCCCATCGCATGAAGGGATAAGGCAGCGAGGAAACGGCCAGGAGCTCGGCTGGCGCGTGGATCATCGGCGCGTGCCGTTGACATTGCTCGCAGCGAGCTACGAATCGATCACATTCTGTTAGCATTGTCGGCCAAAAATGGCCGTGATTTTGATTTTTAGAGCGAGAGATCGACCATTGGAGTGATTTTCACATGCTTCCTCGTGTGTTTCTTTCATGACATCGAGCGTCTCCTCGCCGTTCAGACAGTTGAGCAGGGCTCCTGTCACTACAAGAAAATAGCTATATTATGACAAAAAAATTTAGTCACAATAAACACAATTTCGTAACAATAAAATTATTGTGACGGAGTTGTCATGTTTTTTGAAGAATCACAATACAATGGTCACAAATTTTTTTTCGTAACAAAAACGTCACATCTGTTATAGTATCCCAATTCTGTCACTCATTTTGACAAAATTTTAGTTCTAAATCATCACAGGGATTCGTTGCATATTCGTTGTTCTTACCTACTATCAATTGCGTCATTTATTTTGACGAAACTTTATTGCAAATTGTCACAACTAATGACATAAAGAACATTGGCTATTGATCTTAATTTGCAACTATTTTTCGTCCTAATTAACTACTAATTAACTAATAATAAACAGACATTTTAAAAAAACTATATTTTCATAACATGAAACCATGATACAAAAGATCAGTATTACAAAGTAAACGTACATAATTAAAAATAAGATTATACAGCTTGTAAATAAACTTGTGAATAAAGGATAGGTTGCTCAGCATCGTCCTCGGATCTCAAGCTTGATCTTTATCGCCTAGCAGGAAATCTCAAACTTGTTGTTTTCTTTGCCCGAAGAAGCTTTCATCTGGTAAAAATTAAGAGACTGAAACAATATCTTTGAAATCGAAAAGAACTGCTACCTTTAGTGGAGAATTTTAAGCAATATCCTCTTTGTCCTTAGGGTTGTTTGGCTCAAACTTCTGAACCTGTCAAAGGTTCACATGTAATCAAACCAGTTTTTCTGTTTTCACCAAGAATCATCTACTCATGTTGATACTATGCAAAATCGAATGGTGAAGAACTGGAACTAGGCCATTCCCTCACTCTGCAGATGGCCAACCGACTTAGCTTCCTCCTGCACGAGGAAGAACACAACACAAAAGTAACAGTAAAGAAATCAAACAAACTTTGACAAAACATATGATTATATCAGTCCGAGTCCTGCTTTGTGCGTATTCCAGTGCCAAGTACGGAGTACCTGGAAACAAAATCCAATAACTGAGAGGTTATCATTAAACTTGCTACATATCCTAATACTCGAAGCCACATCAAGGGATATATGTGTTGTAGTGGCAGAGCTGCTAGCAAGAACAGCAGTAGAAATAGAAGATGGAAGACCTGTGCAAAACAATGCTTCTTTCAGAACAAACCATAAGGATACAGATACTATGAAGCCAACATTCAAAGGAGATCAAACTACAAGAGCCAACTTTCTACATTCTTCTTCCCGTTCCTATGAAACTAACAACTCCAAAACAAAACCAAGCTTTCACGGTTTATTTATCCTATAGAAAGACTTTTGGAACACGATAACACCAAAAAAAACACAAGAATCATTGACAACAATATAGACTCTTGTCACCAAATTTTCTCACAGCACTTCATATCTGTATTCAAACATTAAAAACCAAGTAAACAGCAAAACCCACTCAAAATCTCTGAGCAAAACTACCAAATCAGATAGGGGTTTTGTAAGAAATTTCAACCTTTGTTTCAATGAACAATGAAAAAAGGTACCTTTTTCTTTTTATGAAAATCCCTAAATACTTAAAAACAATAACAAGTCCTGCACAAAATCAAAACCCAGAATCAATTAGATTCTCTCTGTAAGAAATACTCACAGAAGGTACAGAAGAGATAGAGAGGAAAGGCCATACCTTTAAGGTCTTAATGTTCTTTCCGAGCATGCTCTCTCTGCTATCTACCGGACCATACAGTTCCTCGAAAGCCGTCGCGATCTATACCTCTGTCTCGTCTGCTCCTTCTCGAAATAAGGCGGCGGGACGAAACTTCTGGAGGAGACGGCAGGGCATAGACGGCACTGGAAGTTATTTCTGGGGTTTCATCCTCGAAGAAGAACATCTCGATTTGGTTGGAGGAGGTCTTGACGAAAGTGAGAGATGAGGAGCGCTTGAGAAAGCTGAAGAAGACGATGGGTCTCGAGGAGATGATGCGAGAGGTTCCATTTGTGTAGGGAGAGAGAAGAAAGGGAAGAGAGATACAGTGGATCTGAAACAGCCAAATCCATCGGGACCTAGGGTTTGAGGATTACTTGAAGGCAAACGATAAAGGGTAAAAATTAAGGGACGGCACCTTTTTTTTTTTGGTAAAGGAAAAGTTTTCCGCTAAAAAATTAGAAAGAAAAAGGTCGGAACTGAAATAAGGCTCAATAGTTTAAGGCATTAAACCTTACCATAACTTTTAAAACCAAAAGACAAATAAATAATTAGGGGGAGTAAAAATTTTCACCAGCATAATATATCCTAGCGTGTATCAATTTAGAAACGATATTAAAAGTTTTAAGATATATCAACCATAGCGTAAACACCTAAACCACTATCATCTATTAAAACTCAATATTCTTGTAGTGCATCAACTATAAATAAAAGATTCAATAGCTTTTACTTTCTTTTTTTTTTTAATATTATATTAATCAACCCAAACCAAAAATTAGAAATGGTTTACAGAAAATTGAAATTAAACAAAAACCGAAAGAACCAGACAATGGTTTACAGTTCTCCAACACCGGCACGCCGGCCCATCGCCGGACCTCCGATCTCGACTCTAACCCTCAATCCGGTCATCAGAGGAACGAGAAACTGGCAGACGAAGGAGGATAGTTAAACCCAACCCCTTCACCGCCAGATCTGTCTTTGTAACGCAGCAACCGAATCACCGACCACCGCGACCCTCTTAGACACGCCGTGCAACCCTCCGAGCCGCCTCGTGATTTCCGCTACAGAGCAGCTCGATGAGTGCTCTCCCTCCGCGATTTACACCGCCATCCCCGAGCGGATCCAAATCCGGTGAGATCGAGCAACTCACTGAACGAGTCTCTAAAGCCCACAACCACCACTCTGCCTCAACGAAACGGCTCCTTCACACCTCAGCACCGCCGGAGAAGAAGAAAGGAGCGTTCAATTTCAAAGGTCGCAAACCATCACTGCATTGAAGAGCAACGAGTTACCTAACTAGGAGTCGCCTCTCACGGCGCCGACGAAGAACGCCGGACCGGAGAAGCGACGGATCGAAGATCTGTGAAGGAGGCGGCTAGGGTTTTCGTTGGGAGAGAAAAGGCCTCTCAAAGGCTTTTTTTTCTCCAAAGTTACTACCTTTTCCACTAGCTTTTACTTCTTATTGTATAGTTTTTTCTATTCCATTTTATGTTTTTACTGTGAAACAATAATATGTTGTATAAGTTTTTTTTAACCTGAGAAATAACAAAGATATCTTACAAGTGTGAATCCCTAAACTCCAAATCAAACTCTTTTTAATCCAAAAAAAATATTAAATTTCTGTTGTAATATAATTATAAAAAAATATATTTCAAATCCTATACTTTTATACCCTAAACCCTAAATGCTACACTCATTAATTTTTTTTATTTTGTATTTTGTAGTAGTTTTTTTATTTTATTATGTGTTCTCAGTATAAAACAATATTTTTGTAGTTTTTTTTTCAATTAAGATAAAATAAAAATAAATTTTATACCCTATATCACATATATTAGTCAATAAAAATTATTATATTGTTATTATTAATAGCAATAAAAAATATTTGACTAACACGTTGGTTATTTGACATTTGTTACTTACCTAAAACTTTATTACTATATTAGATTAGTAATGATCCAAGATTTCAACATACAATAGCATCTTCGACTTCTCAAAATCAGCATTTATACATTGTTTAATTTCTTCAGCAACAATTTGCCAGATACAAGTTTTTGAGAAAAATAAAAATAAAATAGAATAAGAAGTTCATTCAACTGAGTTTTTGGATGTTTAACTGAATTAAAACTATTTTCTTATTTTTTTAAATTATGATTTTAATCTTGTCACAAAATGGTAACAATTATGTCATAATCTATGACCAAACTCAAAAGTCACTAAAATAGTAACTGATTGTGATGATGTATTTATAAAATATTTGTAACTTTGAGTGACTTAAGTTTAGTCACAAATATCGTATAATTTAGTTTCTATATTTGGTCGCAAATCAGTAACAATATTTGTAACTATATATTATGTAACAATTACGTCATGATTAGTGACGAAAATTTGTTACTTTTAATTTGGTCACAATGTTATGACGAAATGGTAACGTTTTTATGACTAAATAATTTTGTCATAATTTCATATAAAAATCGTAACAAAATTGTTACAAAAAAATTTAGTCACAATTTTTCGTAACAATATTCACTTTTTCTTGTAGTGTGTCGAGCTCCATCGATAGAGGTCGCCGTGTGACTGGACGTATTTGACGCTTCGGGCTTTAAGACGTCTTGCTGCCCATCGGTCGGGTGGGACTTGGCCATCCGTAATATAGAGCAAAATTTCGATCCTCCAGTCGTCAGTTGGTAGTTCTTGCTCAACAGGCTCATCGACGACATCGGGGAGAAGTAATTCGTTGGAGTCTATGCTGTTTGCTTCGAGCTCTCAAACGGCACATATTCCTCGAGGTAAGACGATGCTGGGGGTGTCGATGCTTCGACTGGGATAACGCGCCTTTGATGTGGTTCATACGTCGAAGCGAGAGCGGCTAGCGCGTCGGCAGAAGTGTTGTCGCTTCTCGGGATTCTGGTGAGGGAGAAAGATTCAAAGTGATCAGTGAGGTTCTTAACGGCTTTAAGATCCAAATCCATCCGGTTCCTGGTGTCGTAGCCGCCGCTGTATTGGCTAGCAACAAGCTGGGAGTCGCAGAAAGCTTCGATTTTCTTGACCCCGATTCCTTGGGCTAGACGAAGTCCTGCGAGTAGAGCCTCGTACTTTGCTTCATTATTCGAGGCTGAAAATTTGAGCCAGAATGATTGCTCCAGTATTTCTTTTGTCGGGGATTCTAATCGGATGCCGATACCTGTGCCTCGGGACGAAGAGGATCCGTCGACGTACAAAGACCACTTCTCGTCAGGGAGATCGGTCTGGATTAACTCCGGGGGAAGCTCTACCAGAAAATATGCGAGAATGTGCGATTTGTCGCTTGTCTTATTGTGATATTCGATGTCATACTCTGTCAGCTCGACAGCCCACTTCGCCATGCGACCTGACTGGCTCGGGCTGTGCAGTATCGTTCGGAGCGTCGCGCCCGCATTCGTCAAGACGACGATTGAATGAGATTGGAAGTAAGGTCGTAGCTTGCTGGCGGACATGATGACCGCGAGTGCGAGTTTCTCCAGGGTTGGGTAACGTTTTTCCGCGTCGTCCAGAGTTTTACGGACGTAGAAAATCGGTTTTTGCTCGCCTCGATCTTCCTTGACTAGAGGTAAAGGGTTTCGCCCGTTTCAGGCTTTGCCAAAATTGGTGGGCTGGCGAGGTACTCCTTCAGTTGTTGGAAAGCCTCCTCACATTTGCTATCCCACTCGAAACGCTTATTGCCTCGGAGGAGTTGATAGAACGAAAGACACTTATCTGTCGAACGAGAGATGAATCGGTTAAGCGCTGCGATCCGGCCGATAAGACGTTGGACCTCGCGAGTGTTGCAAGGTGATGGGAGATTGATTAGGGCATCGATCTGCTTCGGGTTTGCCTCGATTCCCCGTTTAGTGACGATGTAGCCGAGGAATTCTCCAGATGTAACCCCGAAAGTACACTTAGTCGGATTTAGCTTCATCTGATATTGATTCAGGACGGTGAAGCAAGCCTGCAGATGACCGATGTGATCGCCGGCGGTAAGTGATTTCACCAGCATATCATCGATGTAGACCTCCATCGTTCGTCCCAACTGCTCGGCGAATATGTGGTTGACTCGTCGTTGATACGCCGCGCCCGCATTCTTTAAGCCGAAAGGCATTACCTTGTAATAGTAGGTCCCTCGATCGGTGATGAAGGACGTCTTTTCACGATTTTCGGGATGCATCGTGATTTGATTATAGCCGGAGAAGGCGTCCATGAATGACAGGAGCTCGTTTCCTGCCGTCGCCTTGAGAATTCGATCTATATGCGGCAAGGGGAAACTATCCTTGGGGCACGCCTTGTTGAGGTCGGTGAAGTCTACGCAGATTCTCCATTTGCCATTCTTCTTTTTGACGACAACTGGGATTGCTAACCACTCCGGATACTTGACCTCGACGACCGAGCCAGCTTTCGACAAACGCTCGACTTCGTCAAGGACAGCTTATGCCATTTCCGGACCTAACTTTCTCCGTTTTTGCTTGATCGGTTTAAACGTAGGGTCGATATTGAGCTCGTGACTTGTTATCGCGGGATCGATCCCAGGCATATCGCGTACCGACCAGGCAAACGTCGATGTATTTCGGCGAAAAAGTCTTACGAGCTCAACCTTAATCTCCTCCTTCAGGTCAGCTCCGATTCCTACGCATCGTTCGGGATCGCTTTCGTCGATGTTTACTTGTACGACGAGCTCTCGCTTAAGTCCTTCCTGAGATGGTAAATCGACTTGAGTTACGGGTAAAATCGTAAGGCACGCCTTGGCTGGGACCATGGATTTGAATCGAACCTTGTGTTCGGCGGCGAAGCAGAGTCTCGATATCTCTTGAGAGCCTCGAATAGTTTTTACCCCGAACGTGGTTGAGAACTTGAGGCATTGATGATAGGTCGACGGCACCGCCTTTATGGATTGTAGCCAGGGTGTTCCCATAATTACGTTATAGATGGCAGGTTTGTCGATGACGACAAATTTGACGAGGCGGGTCGTCTTCGCCGCGTATACCGGGAGTCTTATCGTTCCGATCGAGTAGACCATATCTCCATCGAACCTTGTGAGTGGCTTAACCAAGGGCTTGAGGTGATGGTTCGCCAGTTCCATTTTATCAAGCTTTTCTTTGAAAATCAGGTCTACTAAGCTTCCTGTATCGACCAATATCCACGACACCTCACAATCTGCAACCCGCAGCTCGATCACAAGCGCGTCGTTATGTGGCATGTCGACTCCTCCGTGTCGGCCTCGGAGAATGTGATCGCATCACTTTCAGCAGTCTTGGCTCTTTTGACCCGCCATTTTTGTGTAAGCATGACCTGACGGCCGTACTTTTTTATCGACCTAACTGAGTCGTTGCATGTTGATAGGCCTCCCATAATAAAGAACACCTTTTTTCGAGATGCCGGAGGAGTGTCACCTTGAGGTTGGCTACCCCGATCTCTCTTCGCGAGGTCATCATTGGGTTGCTCGTTCGTTGGGGGAGGAGGTGGAAGCTGCTCGGTGGGAACCGTTGGTCGAGCTTCGTTGCTTCGCGGCACGGTGTTTTGGGGCTGATTTGCTAATGCGATCTCTCCCTTACGATATTTGGCGAGCAAATAAGCATGTAGCTCGCGACACATCGCAGTCGGGTGACCATACTTGTTGTGATAGTCGCAGAAAGGTCGTGTCTCCCCCGCGGTCTCCTCTCTGCCAGGTGTTTGATTGGTTTTGATACTGGCGATTCTGTTGTTGTTGAGTGCTAATGTTGTATGTCGCTCCTCGGCGGTTGTCACCTCGATAGTTATTGTCGAGGTGTTGTCGAGGTTCTTGATAATTTTGTTTAGGGATTTCTTTGTGAGGCTGCTGTTTTGGCGTCGTTTTTGCTGGCGAGGCAATCTCTTTCTCTTCTTCGTCCTCGATGTATAAGGTGGTGCGGTGAAGCGCATCTTCGAGAGTTCAGTGTTTATTGAACTTGAGGCTGTCCCGAAACTTCGTATCAATTCGTAAGGCGTTTCGAAGAGTCGAGAGTGACGCCTCATCGGTCACGGTGATACGAGAAACTATCGCATTGAACCTGCCGATGAAAGATCGAAGGGATTCCTTTTCGCCCTGTTTGATTTGGAAGAGATCGGCGCTGGAGATTGCGCCTTGGACGTACATCATGTATCTCTTGAGGAAGGCGGTCGACAACGCTTGGTAGCTGTCAATCGAGTTTGCTTTTAACTTAGAGAACCAAACGAGAGCCGCACCACTGAGATTTTCGACAAACAGCTGGTAGAAACCAGCATCTTTCTCTTCGGGGGTGAATCGTGCTCGGCCCATCTGAATGCTGAACGCAGTCATAAATTGGCTTGGGTCTGAGTTGCCCGTATACGTCGGGAGATTAAACTTCACTTGAGTCCTTATCGGGAAATCGGTGATTCGGGTCGTAAACGGGGTGCTTTGGCTTTCTTTCAGCACGTGATCGATCTCAGACGCCGAGCTGGTAGCTTGATGTACTAGCGAGGTCATTGCTCGCAATTTGGCCCTCATTTCGTTCATCTCTTTGTCTTTTTGTGGGTTTCTAATTCGAAGTCGACGCGTTTCGTGTTCGGGAACTCCGATATTCACCTCGTCACAATTCGAGGTTGGATGATTTTCTGTTGTTGGTGGTGCGGAAGAGTCTCCGAATAAGGCGCGTTGCACACGCTGAATTTCTTGCGCTCGTCTCTCCGGAGCTTGGGTCTCCGATGAGTGCAATATGTTGACCTGGTCTTGACAAGAGAGTTGTGCTGCAGCTAGTTCGTTCAGGCGAACACTTGTCTAATGATTCAGCTCTTCCATTCGAGCCATCATCGTTGTGAATAATGCTATGACATCGGCAGGAGCCGGTGTGCTTCGGTTTACATCTTGTGCCTCCGGGTGTAAGGTCGCGTTTTCTGCGGGATTCATCGTCGGTGATCGCCTATTCAAAGTCTCTGGATTGTTAACTGGTGACATCGTCTCGGCAGTAGTCGATGTGGGCAGATTGATCGTTTCGTTGGTTTGAATTCCTGACATTATCGAGCCCCTCTTTGCGTAGAAAGAAATCTCTTAGCCCCACGGTGGGGGCCAATTATTGTTTAGTATCCGCACACGAGGTTAATTCGGTAAATATAACTAGGTGGAGTTCGGAGATTCTTGTTAGATAGAGGTGAGGTCGATGTGATTTCGTCGAGGTCTTTGACGCGAGGTCTATTAAGCGAGGTAAGAGTTAGTGATCACAAGTATAGAGTATTTTTGTGTTTATTTCAGATTACGGATCCCGTAATAAATGAAGTTACAGGGCTATTTATAGTGTTCAAATTAGATTACATCTCGGTCAGAGTAACTTGGGCAGTTGGGTAGATAGACCTAACCGACCGTCTATCGGAATGTCGTGCTGGCGAACTGTTTCATCTACGTCGACGTGGCGAGATGCTCCTTTGATACGAGAGACTCATTTCTCCGAACGACCTCGTTTTGGTCTTTGCAAATGGACTTGTCCATCTTTGATCCTATTGGCCTTCTCCGATTCGCTAACGGGCCTGGTCGAAATTACAGAAAAGGGGGCTGTGCTCAGCCAACCTACAACAACAATGTTTGCTGGTCAAAACGCTATCAAGTTGTGTTCATCGCTTCATTGATGTTTTGTTTATGTGTTGTAAATTTTTTATTGTAACCTGTTAAAATCCCAATGTGCATCATCATATGTGCATGAATCTTTTTTTTGGAAAATTAATTTGAGGTCGCCTAGTAATAAAATTCTTTGAATCCTGGTACTAAGTAAGTCCATATTAGTTTTTGGCTTTTTGCTGTATGAATTCATTGTGTATAAAAATTGGTAATATTGGTGTGTCAAATTTCAGTTGATTCACAACCTATGATGGAGGAGACCATAGTGGTCGGTGACGATCTAATGATGGGTCCTCCATCTCCTGTCATCCCTCCTGAAATTGCTTCACATGTGCTTGAAGGTGTTGAATTGTGTGATGGGATTTTGAGGAATCTATTCTTATGTAAGTCTTTGTATCCTCTGTTTTTTCCCCTTATCAAATCGGTTAAGTTTATATAGGATTGCTTCTCTGGTTTTAGGTTTGCAAATCAATGATATTGAACCATTTTGCCAAGATGAGCTTGCCTTGTATCGACAATGTGCTGAAAACAGGGTAATGCTGTCTGTCTCCACATTAAACATCTGCGCAGATCATATATTTCTTTTTGTAAAGCTGTTAATATCTCATATCCATTTCCTTGAGTTTTTTCGTTTTATTCTAATCCTTCTTTAGGAAAAGGTATTAAGAGTAAGACTTCAAGAGAGCGAACACAAGTTAGGATCGTCTATGCCTATTGATCTTGCTAAGGAACGGATTACTCAGCTTGAAGCTGAAGCCACATCACTACAGAGGTACTCTTTCTTAAGCATTGCACTGATTCAGATTAGTATATATATATATATATATATATGAGAAGAGTTTGTTCTCGGATCTGTGTTACCATGTATCATGTAAATCCTCACAAACTCTGTTCTTAGTCCAAGTTCTCAACCCAAATGTTACAGGCACTTGATTCTAGCAAGTGGAGCTGAAGGGATTGAAGGATTTCGTAAAAGATGGAGTTTGCACGGTCGGGTGACTGATACCAAGTACTGTAACAAAACCTAACCTTATAGAAAAACAATGTTCATAATAATAATATATATTATCATGGAATGAATATTCTGCATGAGATTAGATGAACCTATAATAAACCTTATCAATTTGATTTCACTTTGCTGTTAGTTTACGTTATATCTTTAATTGAGCTATTGATTGTTAGCATTGTAATACCCTTTTTATGTCGTAAAATGTGTTTGATTTGGGTCTGCTTCTTAGCTGAAAGCCTAGTTTTTTGTGTGTGGATGTCACAGAAAACAACTGGAGTCACTGAAGCAGGGAATGGAGAATAGGACAATAGCTGAACATGAGCAATCCCTAAAACCACCTTCTACTTTGGAAAAGATGGTTCTTTTGGTGAGTTTTTATGAACCTTTTTCGACATAAACCATACTATTTGGTCTTTTCTCTCTGTGAAGTGAATTTCTTTTGCTTTTAACTTTGCTAGATTTGTGATGTATTGACGAACGAAGAGGTTGTGGAGATTGTAGCAAAAGCCCCAACACTTCACCAACGATTCTTCAAACTTGAACTTGTCCTTAAACGGATCCATCTCAAAGTCCATTATTGCCTTAAGCAAGACAATCTCGTCTTCTTGACTCCACAATCTCGTGAAATATGTCTTCTTTCTTCCGTCTTGACAAGATTTTCGTCGACGTCTCTTGGGCTTCCTTCTTCAATAAGTTGATTCTTCTTCTTCTCTCTCTTCGGTGAAGCCTCCTTCTTCTTCTCTTCCATCTTGACACGTTTTGCGTCGACGTCTCTTGGGCTTCCTTCTTCGATATGTTGCCTCTCCTTCGTCTCCGTCTTCTCTGACTTTGCCATCTTCTCAGTTTCAGTCTCTGGATCTGAGTCTTGCTTACCGGCGGCTAAAACGTAGGGACAAGATAATGGAGGTTCTTCTTGGTCTTCTCTTGTTTCTTCTTCCTCCATTAAAACTTGCTCTTCCTCTTCTCTTTGGAGTTGTTCCATTGACTGTGTCATCTTCATGCCTGATGGGCATTTTCCGAGATTCTTCTTCTTATTCTTCTGCAAGCGCTTCCTCTTCTTGTTCCGATTTGAGACAGAAGACAATGAAGCTTCCTGCTCGCGTCTGAATTCTTCTTTCTCTTTCTCCATTGCAAGTTCCACTGCAAATCTCACAATAGAGAGAGAGACCAATGAAGAAGATAGAAAGTTTTAGTAAGTTTTTTTTGTTTAGCAATTATTCTTAAAAGCGATAAAAAAAGAATAAAATAATTAAAAGAATTGAAAAGTGCTTGAGCATACATGGAGCCACCACGATATTCGAAGTCGAGAAGCTGTATAGTAGCAGTACCTATTAATTAGTCTAAATGATTAAAAATTAATGATCACGTAAACTATTGTAGAGGTGATGCTACCATATTCATTTAGACTTGATATTTAATCCAAATATATCCTACAAAAGAAAATTCATCATGATGATGATGATGTTACCTAAAATTTTTATGTGTTTTAAAATTTATTTTCAGCTTATACATGCGTTTATATGATAAATCAATTACTCAAACCAAATTGTTTTTGTTAAAAAAATAATATTGTTGAGAGAGAATTGCAACAAATAAAATCTTGGCTACGATTCAAAATTAATTTTGGTATAGTTGATTCATAAGAATAGAAGATTTACTGAATTTATAATCCATGTGTATAAATTTGAAATCCATGTACTACTATATGATTTTAAAACAAGTGATTCTACAATGATTTTAAAACAATGATTCTACAATTGATTCTGCAAAAAATTTTAGAATCTTGTAGTTTTATTTAAAAAAAATTATGTACCTATGAAATATTATTGAAATTTTCTTTTGATTTATGGTAATGATGGAAATCTCAAAAACTTTTGAATATGTACTCATGGTTTTGTTATTAAAATATATTTTATAAATACATATTTGACTAGCAGAAAATAAAGAGTAATATATATATATATGTATATATATGTATATATATATATATGTAAATCATAAACGTATATTCAAATTATTTATATATTAGTGTTTTCGTACAAACTTCTCAGTCATTCCTTATTAATCAAACGAGCATCGTAAAGAACAGAGAAATGGAGAGAGAGAAATCTCAAAAAGGATTCAAGACGTATGTTAGAGAACAACGCATACACACAGTGCAGGTGAGAATCTAGTAATTTTATTACAGCCAAAAAGTTGACCAAGAACAGTACATATATTTATCTTTGAGAGTTATACAAGAAAGAATGAGTAGAGTTAGTTGTCTATATAAATTACATGACTCGAGAAAAGCCAAATCACACATCCACAAAGGATCAAATGAATCAAATAATCAAAAGAACCAATAACGTATCTTCCTTTGAGCAAAACTATGAAGTAAAAGAAATGAAAACCGAAATTAGAATCGACAATAACGTTACAAGTCTTCCATTAATCACCGAAGAAGCAGATATGAGATTATCTGCTCCGAGTGAGTAAGCTGCTCCTGATCCATCTTTCACTTTGATGCTTGAAGAACCTAATAAAAACAAAACATTTTGGTGTGTTTGGTTTCTTCATTTGATCGATCGTCTTCTAATTAGTTCTCTTGTTCTAGATACTTACAGTTGTGGTCTGCCCATCCGATAACCTCATTCTCCAGATCGTATACCACTAACTTGTTCGAAAGCACCAAATCTAAAATTGAAGAAACCAAATTTGAAGTCATATACATCAAGTGTAACACATGAGAGACCAAAAACTAGCCAGTGTTTGGTATGATTTTTGCCTAAATGCTATCATCTAACATCTTTAACATTTCTTCTGATGGCTAACTTGGAAACGAGAAAGCACAAGATGCGACAAAAATGATCGCATAGTTAAGGATTTTTGGTGTTGGAAGACATGTAAAAGTCTATATGGAAACTTCAAGTGCAGATTATATAATGATGAGCAATATCCAATAGTTTGATTTGAAAATTTACCTCCCAAAAGGATTACATCGGATCCATCCTGAGTCGTCATTCCACCAGATTGCCAACCAAAGCAATACATGTCTTCCTGTTTCGAGAAAAGGAAACATAAGAGAGCTCAATATATGGAGGAGACAACAAAAATGCTTTAGATAACTCCCCACAATAGCACCAAGTTTTAACTATCTTGTTTAAATCCATTGATCAAACTTGAGTTAAAAGCAAAAATATAAACACATCAATGCAGAAAGATGGCTATTGACTTACACGAAGTGAAAAAAGATAGTCATGTGGATACACAGTCAGTTTGAGTGAGTCCTCGAAGTGAAGATTGACTACTGGAAATGCTTTATCTGTGCTGCAGATACAAGCAAGAATATTTTAGCACATTCCACCGAGTAAGACAAAAAAAACTCGCGGCATGTAATATATTTTAGCACATTCCAAGCGTTCAAGCTTCTTAGCACTTGTGTTTCAATACATCTTATATAAATTTTTCTATTTCTGCAAGAACCTTTGCATAAAAAACTGATGAATGTTTACTTAAGACAATATACAACTTGGTTGAGACATAGATGCTAGGAACAGGATGCAAGTCATCTTACTTTGAAGTGAAAGAGAAACAAGCAAAAGTCTCTTGTACCATGTGCAGTTTCACCGGTTGCCGAGCAGTGATCTATATACAGAAAATACCGTGTCAGGGTTGTGATTATAAACTAGAAACCAAAGAATGAGAAGAGTTTCACCTTCTCAAGTAGTGCGGTGTACAGTTTCTCTGGTAAGTAAGCTAAGGTTGTGCCACTGTCAATTATGGTTCCTCCATTTCCGCCAAAACTAGCTAAGCTTGGTGGGAGGTCAATAGTTTCACCATCCACATCTATTCCCTTTAAAATGACGTTGTAATGTACCCTAAAATTGTTGAATAAAAGTTATTACAAGTAACAAATCAACAATATTCAAAGGCTAAGCCTTTAGACGAACACGAGATTTTCTACATTCAAACTCGTAGAGAATAGTTCCCAGACGAAGAAAATTTCTCAAGCAAAAGCTTATCTACCATCAAAATAGAATTTCACACATTACTAGAATACGCAAAGACCAAAAAGTTATTCACTAAACTCTAATTTCTTAACAAAATGACTTAAGATGGTTTCACTTACTGGTTAGGAACCAAAGGGGTTGTTTTCACCACTGGAGATTCCACTTCCCCAACAGCAAAAATGCCACCACCATTCACATTGTCCAAGCAATGTGAAAAAACTCTCTTCACATTCCCTGCAGAAGCTAGTTGCGAAATGATAGAGGTATTTGCTTGTCCAAATCCCATAATGCCATCAACTGCTGAGTCAGTTTGCCCAAGTTGCCCAGATTGATTGCTTCCACACCTGTCTCACAGAGAAATCCTTATGCTCAAGTTCATAACTTAAGTTCACAAGCCAGGACTCATACGCTCTAAGATGGCATATGTAAAGGTTAAGAAACAGACAACAATGCATCCCAACGAAAAAAGCAAATAAAGAATAGAGCAAGAACAATTTTGTAAGTGTTGCTAATGCTATGCTTACCCGAATACCACTTCTTGGGCAAGGGGTGCAGTTCGGAGATTTCCAGTTACTTGATCAAGCGTAATGTTATCCCTCACAAAATCTCCGTCACTTGTGCTTCCATCTCCATACACCACATGATAAGTACACGGGTTCTTCTTCGGTTCGCAAGTGTCTGATTGCGAAATGAAGGAACAGAAATCATCTTCACAGCCAACTTTCTTTGAGGTCGAGGAAGCTTTCGAGTCATACAACGATAGAGGTATCTGCACAAGCAATCAAAGCAAATATATAAGCTGAGAATCCTGAAAATGTAGCTCGTAAGTTTTCGATAAACAACGGGTTTAAAGCATACACCGAGATCTGTTTTTACAGGACATTTGGGACACGGTGCACAATTCACCCAAAGTATATCACTTCCTGTATCAACTTGAACATAATAATCCTTTGGTGGTGACCCGAGCTGGATTTTTGTGAAGTACAAACTGAAAAAGCAAAATCAAGCAAAAATGTAAACAAAGCATCTGGGTTCATTGGGTTCTTCCTAAATCTAGTTTCAGCATCTGGGTTCTTCCTAAATTTATTGTAAACAAAAATCCAAAATCCAAAATCAAACACAATGTAAATCTCTTAAGAAGAAAGATCAAATCCAGAATCACACTCATTGCCATTCTCTGCCTAGTTTCAGCATCTGAGTTCTTCCTAAATCCATTGCAAACAAAATCAAAATGCATAATCAAAACACAATGTAAATCTCTTAAGAACAAGATCAAATCTAGAATCACACTCATTGCCATTCTCTGCCTAGTTTCAGCATCTTAGTTCTTCCAAATCTATTGCGAACAAAATTAAAATCAAAATCAACATCAAAGAAAATGTAAATCTTTTAAGAACAAAGACCA